CGGCGCGCGAGCCAAACAAATCTGGAGACTGTCCGTACAGCTGCAGGACAGACTAGTTCTCGTTTGGGAATCAAAATTGGTAACGTCCTAAAAATCAGTATAATAAATCTAGGTAGGAAGGTCATTTTAATACGAATTAATTCTACACGAACCAGGAAATGAGAAAGATCCTGCCAGGCTAATAAGTCATTGCTTAAGTCGCTTGAAAAAGCGGGATATATTTTGTTGGCCTGGATAGCGTCGATACAGATTTCGTAAGATGAATCCCCAGATAAGGGGAGAGAAGACCAGGAGCCCACTGAAAAGCAAAGTTTTCCCGGCAGTAGCGAACTCTCTGAATCGGGAAAGAGATATTCAAAGCAACCAGTTTTTAGAGGAGTTGAGAGCGTAAGACCGTAGACCTCAGAAAAACGCATAAAAACAGATGGAAGAAACCAGGTAGAGACGTTCGAGTAAAGGATCAGATATATACATAAGAACATCATCGCAAATAGGGCACATTTATGAACCCTTTGACCCACAGATAACACCCGATATAGAGGAATCAGCGCGAATAGCAATCGCAAGAGGTTCCATCGCCAATGCAAAGAGCAACGGAGAAAGAGTACATCCCTTGTTCCTAGTTCCTCGCTCTATCGAAAAAAGGAACTGATTTATGTCCACGAATGGATTACCTGAGCTGACGGGGTTCTGAATAGAGGGCCCGCAACAACGTCGTAAAATTAAAGGGCCAAACCCAAACCTGTCCAACGATTTTAAAAAAATAATCCCAGGGACAGACTGTCGAATGCCTTCTGAATATCCAGTGACAGTAGAAAAACGATCCCTTCGCGACGATCCATCCAATTTGGACTGCACAGCTGACAGCAAAGCTATATAGTCCGGCCTAATTTGGTCCGATGTTTGTCGACCACTTATGAATCCTGATTGGTCATCATGAATGTATAAGGCCAAGAAGTTATGGAGCCGTAAGGACCAGGGATTTTATCGTAAGAATCTTTAAATCACAATTAATTAAAGAAAATAGGCCTGGTAATTGGAGACCATAAGCGGCATCCTTGAAAGGCTTGGGAATGACACTAATGAATGCCTTATTTTCCTCTGGGAGAAGAACCACACCCCCCTCCCGCAAATAATTAAAATACAGGGCCATAATTGGTATCAGAATGTCCGGGAAAGCTTTATAGTAAGTATTAGGAAGACCATCCGAGTCCCGGGTGGCCTTGTGAGAGGCCAGGGATTTCACCGCATTCCCAACCTCTTCACAGGGAGATAGTAGGTTTGTACCATTAGCTCCCATACTCTCTGTGCCTACTGTGGAGCGGCGGATCTAGGAAAAGGAGATAGACTCCAAAAAATAAAAGCCTCCAAGAGAGGAAGAAGAACAGCCCCACCGTGGGTGCGAACTATAAATGCTGAGAGTAAAAAGTACTGAAATTTGTGGAGGATCTTACCTGGGGTCCTGGGATAAAACGAACCATTGTCCAGTCTGAGCTTGGGGCTAGGGCCGTCTGGGAGTGTCTAGGAGTCAGCTTGCGTGCCAAACAAGGTGCCAGGTCTGTCCCCTCCACGTAAAGAGAATTTATGATTAGAACCAACGAAGTTGTTTATATCCGCAGTGGTAGTAAGACTTAAATTAGGAGTTCCAGTCGGAGCGCCTGGTCAAGTTTTTAAGTAACAAATCAGAAACTGGGATGTATGTTTTATGTTGAGCAACCAGGTCAATATATAACTGAGTTTTTAGTAGCAAGTAGGTCAGTTCGGGCTTTTTTTAAACGAGAAGAGAGTTGAATAATATAGCCCCTGACTGAGGCCTTATGAGCTGCCCAATTAATCGCCGGTTCGTGTCCTCTGCTTTATTAAAATCAAAAAAACATTTGTAGGTGCGATGAAATTTCCCGACAATGAGATGGATTACCCAAAATAGAGTCATTAAGACGCACGCAATGAAAAGCCGTCTTACCAAGGGAGTCTCGGACGAAAAGGTGATAGAAACTGGGTCGTGGTCAGACCAGGGCGTGGAAAAGATTTTAGCAGTGACAAGTTTGGGGAGTGAATATGTATGAAGAAAAATATGGTCAATGGCGAGATAACTATCATGAGCCCTGGAGTAGTGGGAGTAAGTCTCGGGGGAAGTAGGATTAAGCCTCCCTCCATGCATCAATAAGATCATAGCGATATAAAAGTTGAGCCAATTTACGGCTCCGTCTAGAAGGAGGTTGAAGCGTGGGCGGTTTGGGAAACGATCCAGAGTCTGATTCCAATGCTAAATTAGAGTCACCAGCTAGAATAAACGTCACCCTTCAAATTCTCCTACCAGAGTACTTAGCAAAGATTGGTGAAAAATTCAACCTGATTGGTATTGGGGGTATAATAAATTTATAAAAGTGATAAGGTCGCCCTCCCAATGGCCTTTCACCAAAAGATATCTCCCCTCCTTGTCCCGGATAATTTTAGAGTCAAATCAAAGGACACTCGACGAGAAAAGCAAAGGGCCACCCCCCCGCTTTTTCTTCTGTGGCATTAGAAAAAAAAAGCAAGAGAGGGTAATTTTTATGAATTATAACGTGAGAGAAGGAGGGTGGAAAATGAGTCTCCTGTAAGGCGCAACTATATCCGCCCCAAGGGTATAAGTATGAGCTGAAAGCCATGTATACGTTTGGATGGGGAATTGAACCCTGAACATTATGAGAAAGGAAGCGAATTTCTTCTCCGCTAGTGGACCGTATGGAAGACATGACAAATAATTATGGAACTAAGCAGAATAAAGACCCCTCGTTCCTTAAAAAGTAAGTAAGATCCCTATGAGTCCCTAAAATGTCGCCATCTGACCCCCCAAAAAATCAGAAAACAACAAAAAGAAAAAAGACAGAAAAAAACAGAAAAAAGAAAAAGAGAACATTCGGATACACAAAAGTCCAAAATGCCAAGTGACCCGCGCGTACACAAAACAGTATCAGAAAATGAAGGAAACAATGTACCAGGAAATACAGAGCAATAGCCCTGCGGTGGGAATAGGTCTGCCCAGAGAAACATTCCCGGGGAGAAGAGTCTTCCAATCAGGGAGAGCGCAAAGACACTCTCCGGCACTAAACAGCAGTTACAACCCAATAACAATAAATCAAACGCACAGTGCATTAAAACAAAAAACAAAGCAATTAGAGCCACTGAAATGATATTCAGCAAACAAATGTAATTAACATCCTAAGTCCCACCCCCAGCCCATCCCCCCAAACAACCAATATAAAACAACAGCGGCAATGCTCCGAAGAGCCACAGAAAGGCCGCCATCAACGAACATATTCCAGCGAAAAGTCCCCAAAAGAACACAAAAGTTCAAGAAGTCCACCCGGGCGGATTCCGGGACCCCTTCTTCTTCTTAGACGATGGAGTAGTCCACAAAGGCTGGAGCGGCGGAGGTCGAGAAGCCGATCCCGTGGGAGAATGGGACGTCGGACTTGCGAGATATAATACCCAGCTGAAGCAGCAAACTCCTCGCCATCCTGGAATGTAGTTAAACCCATAGGACTTTTCCATTAAGAGTGAACTGCAGACGAAAAGGGTAGGCCCAACGATATTTAATGCCCTTTTGAACCAAGTGAGAAAGAAGTGGCTTGAGGGAGCGCCGCCTCTGGATAGTGGCCGAAAAACGAAACATCAGCAAAGATTTGTACCTTGTGCCCTGCAAGCTCTATATCCGGATTCTCCCTGCCAAACCGCATAAAACCGCTTCCTTAACCTGAAAAAAAATGAGGCTTGACGATGATATCTCTAGGAGGCCCCCCTTGCCGGGGGGGGATCAATGCCCGGTGAATGCGATCAATCTCAAGATGAAGATCATCAATCGCAGCATAGCGGACCGCATGAGGGTATGTGCGCAGCTAGTAAGCTCCTTAACCGATACTCAGGAAGACCTCGAATGCGAAAATTGTATCGCCTAGCCCGATTCTCCAGGTCATCAATTTTAGAATACGCCTCCTCCAGGCGATCTTGCAAGTCGGTGATCATGTTAGAATTTTGGGAGATACTTTGGACTGTCGCATCAACTTTAGCCTCAATACAGTCTAAACGGTGGCCCAAGGCCTGAAAATCCTGCTTTAAATCCGCCGCCAATTTTGAGGTAGCTCTGTCTAATTCGCGTTGCAGCAAATCTGCGAATCGAGCTATCAAAGTCGCATCACAAGAGTATAGAGGCGGGTCAGGAGGAATCGTTGGCGAGGAAGCCGGGCTGTCATCAGCGGGATCTGGACCGCTATGCTGGCTTGAAAAAATGGCAGCTATGTCGCTGCTCAAGGGCGAGGATGCAGGGGAGTCACGGCTCAATGGACAGGGCCGAAGCCTGGGACTCTAGTGGCAACAGGGCTGGAGGATGACTGGGGGGGCTGCAGGAAGTCACTCACCCCACCTAGCGATGCTGCTTAGTCCTCCCTGGCCCAGCGTGGGACGAGGAGCCCATCTTCTCTCTCCGAGGGAGGGGTGCTGCTGTAGGAGAGGCAGAGGAGACCCCATGAGCCGCGGGCGCCGATCCGGCCGCCATCTTGGTCCTCCCAGTCCCCGCAGGGAGCCGCAGCTGGGAGCCTCCACGGCTCTTAATCGCCGACTTGCCGGGCATATTGACAGGTGCCCGAGATCGGAGATAGGCAGGGGGGGGCCCGGGGGTGAAGCGGCACTATGCCCTTTTATGGGCTGCTGTCAGTGCCGGAGATGTGCGGAGCTAATGCCGGGACATCCGATCCCGGCCCGGCGCTCCGCGCATGCGCACTCTTAATTTGTATTTTTTAACATAAAAAAATGAGACATGAAAAAAAAAATTTAAGCAAACATACACATCCAAGTCCTTAGAACTGCACTGCGAGTTTTATCGTGTATTGCATGGTTCTCTGTACAATATCTGGGCCAGGGGCAGACTGGGAACTCATGGGGCCCCCGGGCAATAGGAAATCAAGGGGCCCCCGTGTCCTTGCCCACATTCAAACCACACCCACAAAAGCCTATGAAAGGTACCAGGGGCATCTCATGGGGCCCCCTACTGACTCTGGGCCCTCGGGCAGTGCCCAAGTGCCTAAATGGTCAATCCGCCCCTGATCTGGACTGATCAGATGTATATAGTAAAGGCAGACAGTCCCACTTAGGACATGTTCCTTAAAGGAGAATAACAGCCAAAGCTCGTTTGGCTGTAATTCTCCTGTAGATTCATTCTGCACTCCTGTGACCCGTTTTCAGCTGACATCAAAAAGCCGGTCCAGGCTGGGGAAAGATCGTGACCATATGGTTGGGATCCATCCAGGAGCCTGGACCGGCACCTGGATCAGCCTCTCAGCGATCCGCTGAGAGCTTGAGCCAGCCGCTCCCTCCCCCTTCACAGCCTAGCGCTCCAGTGGGCGTTGGGGGGCAGAGCAGATTGAGGTGACTGACAGTCCCAGGTCTCTGCGCAGAGTGACAAGGAGAACTGAGTGATCAATTGTGTCTGATCGCTCAGTTCTCACCCTTACAGCCGACGGAGGACAGATGCAGCATTGGATTGGATTGTTGTTTGATTAGCTGAAGGGTTAGGCAACTCTGGAGAGGTAGTAATCTATCTGAACAACATGGAAGAGAGCAGGAGACAGTAGTATGCAACAAAGAGTTCAGAGGCCAGTAGTATGTAGGGTAGAATGTAGGGGTCAGGAGTAAGTATCACAGTTTGCAAGAGTAATTAATGCAGAGCTCAGTAGTATGTAACTCAGAGTGCAGAGGTCAGTAGTATGTAACTCAGAGTGCAGAGGTCAGTAGTATGTATAGCAGAGTGCAAAGGTCAGTAGTATGTAAAGCAGAGATCAGAGTAAGTATTGCAGAGTGCAGAGGACAGTGGTATGTAACACAGAGCACAGAGGTCAAGAAAAGGTAACACAGTTTGGAAAAGGCAAGAGTAAGTTACAGAGAGCTCAGTATTAAGTAATACACAGTGCAGAGGTCAGTAGCATGTATTGCAAAGGTCAGTAGTAAGTAACACAGAGTGCAGTGGTCAGTCAGTAACATAGTGCAGAGGTCAGTAGTATTTAACGCAGGGATGCAGAAGTAAGTAGCATGTAATGCAGCGGTCAGTATTATGCAATGCAGAGTGCAAAGGTCAGTAGTATGTAACGCAGAGTGCAAAGATAATTAGTATGTAGGTCAGAATGTAGGTTTCAGGAGTATGTAGAGCAGCTTGCAGGGGTCTTGACTAATGTAGAGGTCAGAAGTAAGCAATACAAAGTGCAGGGCTCATCAGTATGTACTTCAGAATGCAGAGGTCAGTAGTATGTAATGCATAGTACAGGGATCAGTGGTATGCGGGGCAGAATGCAATTTTCAGGAGTATGTAGAGCAGCTTGCAGGGGTCTTGACTAGGGTAGAGGTCAGAAGTAAGCAATACAGAGTGCAGGAGGCATCAGTATGTACTTCAGAATGCAGAGGTCAGTAGTATGTAATGAAGAGTACAGGGGTCACAAGTAATACAAAGTGCAAAGGTCAGTAATTTATAACACACAGCGCAGAGGTCATGAATAACTATCACACATCTCCCACAAACAGAAATACCCCCATTCCAATACAAACATCTAGTTGAAATGGCCTACAGCACAAATTCCTCTCCTTCCAGACCTCAGATGCAGAGCTGAGTCAAATCCTCCCAGGTCGAGATGGTCGCTGGCTTGGTAGTGATGAGTCAAGTCCTCCCAGGCTGAGATGGCCGCTGGCTTGGTAGTGATGAGTCAAGTCCTCTTAGGTCGAGCTGGTCACTGGCTTGGTAGTGATGAGTCAAGTCCTCTTAGGTCGAGATGGTCGCTGGCTTGGTAGTGATGAGTCATGTCCTCCCAGGTTGAGATGGCCGCTGGCTTGGTAGTGATGAGTCAAGTCCTCCCAGGTTGAGATGGCCTGCTGGCTTGGTTGAGATAGGCGCTGGTCTTGGTAGTGATGAGTCAAGTCCTCCCAGGTTGACATGGTCGCTGGCTTGGTAGTGATGGGCCACGTTCTCCCAGGTCAAGATGGTTGCTGGCTTGGTAGTGATGAGTCAAGTCCTCCCAGGTCGAGATGATCACTGGCTTGGTAGTGATGAGTCAAGTCCTCTTAGTTGGAGCTGGTCACTGGCTTGGTAGTGATGAGTCAAGTCCTCCCAGGTTGAGATGGTCGCTGGCTTGGTAGTGATGAGCCAAGTTCTCCCAGGTCGAGATGGTCGCTGACTTGGTAGTGATGAGTCAAGTTCTCTTTGGTCGAGATGGTCACTGGCTTGGTTGGGATGCAGTCTACCTGTCACAGGGCTATAGTCGACAGGTAGATCACGACTGACCTGTTGCTAACCCGCCATCTAGTTGATCTTGAGGGGACAGTTTTTGTTTTTATGAAAACAATAACAAAGCATCACTTTAAGCCATTAAAATGTATCTAAGAATTCTACGATTATTTTGATTATAGCATGTTCTTGTGTTTTGTCACAATGTCAGCATGGACAGACGGCGCTCCACCTGGCTGCGGAAAATGACCACTCTGAAGTTGTTAAACTGTTCCTGAAGCACGACCAGAGCTAGTGACATCTGCCAACATGGAAGGCTCCACGTGCGCCCACATTGCGGCTGCTAAGGGCAGCGTCGCTGTCATCATTGAGCTGCTGAAGTTCAACAGTAGCGGTGTGTGACAACAGCACGTAACAAGGTGCGTACGTTCCAGAACAGCACATACAATGTACTGTATAACCTGATATGGACTGACATGACTTGTTTATATTGTAAATGCAGAAAAGAGTCACAAATTAAAGACAAACCTATTGTTAGATCGTTGCTTCCTTTGTAAATTCCCCAGTAGGAACACAGAGGACAGTAGTATGTAATGCATAGTACAGGGGTCAGTGGTATGTGGGCAGAATGCAGGTTTCAGGAGTATGTAGAGTAGCTTGCAGGGGTCTTGACTAATGTAGAGGTCAGAAGTAAGTAATACAGAGTGCAGGGGTCATCACAGGGGCGGACTGACAACTCATGGGGCCCCGGGCAAAAGGGGATCATGGGGCCCCTGTGTCCTTGCCCAAACTCAAAGAAGACTATGAAAAAGGTACCAGGGGTATCTCATGGGGCCCCCTACTGACCCCGGGCCCTCGGGCAGTGCCCTAGTTTCCAAATGGTCAGTCCGCCCCTGGGTCATCAGTATGTACTGCAGAACGCAGAGGACAGTGGTATGTAATGCATAGTACAGGAGTCAGTGGTATGTGCGGCAGAATGCAGTTTTCAGGAGTATGTAGAGTAGCTAGCAGGGGTCTTGACTAATGTGGGCATTATCTAGGGCAGTGGCGGCCCGAGGACCGAAACTATTTTCTGAACTAAGTCCTCCCAGGTCGAGATGGCCGCTGGCTTGGTAGTGATGAGTCAAGTCCTCTTAGGTCGAGATGGTCGCTGGCTTGGTAGTGATGAGTCATGTCCTCCCAGGTTGAGATGGTCGCTGGCTTGGTAGTGATGAGTCAAGTCCTCCCAGTTGAGATGGCCGCTGGCTTGGTAGTGATGAGTCAAGTCCAGTCCAGTGCAGGGGTCATCACAGGGGTGGACTGACAACTCATGGGGCCCCGGGCAAAAGGAGATCATGAGTTTTCAGGAGTATGTAGAGTAGCTAGCAGGGGTCTTGACTAATGTGGGCATTATCTAGGGCAGTGGCGGCCCGAGGCAGGTGCGGGGTGTGCGCGCCACACCAGGTGACACCTCCCGCACGGACCGGGACCCTCTCCACGAAAAGCTAAGTTGTAAAGCAAGCTGACGATCCCCACAGGAATTTTTTAATCATGTCCCTTTACAGTATTTATGCCTTTAGAGTGCACTTTATAAAGAGTTTTGAACAGATAAAATACTTTTTACTAATTTTTTTCTGACTTCCGGAACGGATTAATTGGTTTTCAATGCATTCCTATAGGAAACCGAGTTTCGGTTTACGAATTTTTTGCAATACGAAAAGTACGAACGCATTAAATTTGTAAACCGAGGTCCGCCTGTACATATATATATATACAGTCATGGCCCGAAATTGTTGGCACCCTTGATATTTCTCCAGGAAATCATGTATTTCTCACGAAACGTATTGCATTAAACGAACATGTTTTGCTATACACATGTTTATTCCCTTTGTGTGTATTGGGACAAAAACAAAAAAAACGGGAGGAAAGAAAGCAAAAATTCGACATAATGTCACACAAACCTCCAAAAATGGGCTGGACAAAAGTATTGGCACCCTTTCACAACTGCGGATAAATAAGAATGTTACAAGCATGTGATGCTCCTGTAAACTCACCTGGGGCAAGTAACAGGTGTGGGCAATATAGAAATCACACCTGAAAGCAGATAAAAAGGAGAGACGTTCACTTAACCTTTGCATTGTGTGTCTGTCTGTGCCACACTAAGCATGGACAACAGAAAGAGGAGACGAGAACTGTCTGAGGACCTGAGAACCAAAATTGTGGCAAAATATCAAAACAATCTCAAGGTTACAAGTCCATCTCCAGAGAACTAGATTTGCCTTTGTCCACAGTGCGCAACATTATCAAGAAGTTTGCAACCCATGGCACTGTAGCTAATCTCCCTGGTCGTGGACGGATGAGGAAAATTGATGAAAGATTGCAACGCAGAATAGTCCGGATGGTGGAAGAAAGCAGCCCCAAAACATGTTCCAAAGACATTCAAGCTGTCCTGCAGGCTCAGGGAGCATCAGTGTCAGCGCGAACTATCCGTCGACATTTAAATGAAATGAACGCTATGGCAGGAGACCCAGGAGGACCCCACTGCTGACACAGAGACATAAAAAAGCAAGACTACAGTTTGCCAAAATGTACTTGAGTAAAGCCAAAAGCCTTCTGGGAAAAACGTCTTGTGGACAGATGAGACCAAGATAGAGCTTTTCGGTAAAGCACATCATTCTACTGTTTACCGAAAACGGAATGAGGCCTACAAAGAACAAAACACAGTACCTACGGTAAAATATGGTGGAGGTTCAATGATGTTTTGGGGTTGTTTTGCTGCCTCTCTGGCCACTGGGTGCCTTGACTGTGTGCAAGGCATCATGAAATCTGAGGATTACCAAAGGATTTTGGGTCGCACTGTAGGGCCCCAGTGTCAGAAAGCTGGGTTTGCGTCAAGATCCTGGGTCTTCCAGCAGGACAATGACCCCAAAAACATACGTCAAAAAGCACTCAGAAATGGATGGCAAGAAAGAAGCGCTGGAGAGTTCTGAAGTGGCCAGCAATGA